CTGTCACTATCATACAGGTTGTTGCCTTATTTATGTCCCAAGATAAGTATTATCACAGTACCCTTTGACCTGAGATAGTAATCACCTGTGGTGATATCTTGCTTGTACAAATAAAGGTTGTCTGGAGGTCAGAGAATAGAGCTTGCCACTAGCTAACCACATAGGTCTGGAAGTCTGTACAGACAGACAGGAAGTGAAATAACTGGGCAGAAACAGGATATAAGCAGGGAGAAACAGGAACTCCCTCTCTTGTCTGCTGAGACACTAAAGAAATAAGGCATGGCTGTGTCTTGCTCCTTCTATTCTCCTCTATATCTGACTCTGGATTTTTATTACATAGATAAATTAAGAACTCCTTTTATAATCACCAGTCTTTTAGCAAAGTGGCATGTTCTTATTGACAATTTTAAGTGATTTTTATTTTATATTATGACTGTATAAGAGAAAATTTTAATTTAATGTTGAATTTAATTTAATTTAATTCATTTAATGTTGAAATGAATACACAAGTTTCATTTGCTATATAGTTTCTCACGAGCTTCCTACATGAAAAGAACCTTGTTCCACATGAAAAACCTCTGAACAGGAATTCCTTGTGAAAAGAGGTTTTGGTATCATCATCAAAAAATTGTTTATGCAACCTGTACTTACTAGAAGAGCAATATTGGTATTGATAGACTGAAATGTAAGCAAGAGTCCGTGATTACTCAATAGGTCACTTTAACTAGTGTGAGGCATGAAACATGCTCTTATCTCCCAATTTGGAATATCTAAAGGTCACTGATGAATTATTAATAGAGAGCAATGGGAGTGTTGTGAGTTTCTCACTTTTACTATGATATTGTAATATATATAAGTGACTGTTCTGTATCTAGAGGCAGTACTGATTCAACACAAAAATGTGATTTATATTAGTCCTCCTAGAATGCACATATTTCCTTCAGACCAAGATTCTATACATAATAGCTGTAGTTATTCTGATGAGTATTTAAAGGAACTACTGAAGCCTAAAAGAACATATCATCTATTTAGAAATTATGCAGACACGTGGCATAGACACAGTTTATAGTTCACTTTGCCATATAATAGAATTCCACAACCAGAGCTTTCAACTGTGTATAATTTAGATACAGTGAACATATGGACACCATTAAAAATAACTTTGTGAAAGTCAGAGAGGTACATGCATACAATGTAATAAAGAAATATGACCATGTTGGGGTTTCCCAGAACACCAAAAGATTTCAATTATTGTAGTGTCACATCAATTTTAAAAAGCTATTATCAGCTTTCCCAACCAACCTAGAGTAAAATTTCACAGTTGTCGAATACTTAATTTTTTTATCTAGAAACAATTATTTTACATATCGATCCCCCTGTTCCCTCTCTCTCCCATCCTCCCATGCCCTCATCAATTCCCCCCAACACACCCCTCACCTGCTCCCCAAGGACAGCGAGGCCTTCCATGGGAGATCATCAAAGTCTGTCATATCATTTGGGGGAGGGCCTAGGTCTTCCTCCTTGTATCTGGACTGAAATAGGATCCCTCCGTAGGAAATGGGTTCCCGAAGTCCACTTGTGCACCAGGAATAAATAATGGTTACACTGTTAGAGATAGCCCAGGCCTCCTAACTGGCACCCACATTCAGAGCTTTTGGTTCAGTCCAATGCTGGTTCCCCAGCTTAACGACTGGAGTCCCTGTGCTCTCACTAGGTCAGGTCAGCTGGTTCTGTAGGTTTCTCCAGCATGGTCTTGTCTCTTTTGTTCATCCCTCCTCCTTCTCTACAGCTGGATTCCAGGATTATGGCTCAGTATGTAGCTGTGGGTTCCTGCTTGATAAAGGCTCTAGGCTGACAATTAAGGTAGTCCATTAATCTCATTATAGGGGAAGGGCATCAAAGGTGGCCTCTCCACTACTGCCTAGATTCTTAGGTGGGGTCATCTCTGTGGATCTCTGAGCATTTCCCAAGTACAAGATTTCTCTTTAAACCTGTACTGCCACCCTCTACTGAGGTATCTCTTTTCTAGAGAGCATAGCAGGGGATCAAGACTGGAGCTCAAGCTCAAACTGAGGATTTAAGGGGACCAAGACTATGATGAAGACATACTCAAGAGAGTCCTGGCTGCCAGGGCAGGTTTACTACACACTGAGTAGACCCAGGAAGTTCCAAGGAGGGGATAGGGGAAGTGGGGCCTAGGCAGAACACAGACTCACTTCAACTGGAGGGTATAGGGGGGCCAAGACTGTGACATGGGCAGACTCCATAGAGTTCGGGCTCCCGGGGTGGTTTTACCACACACAGAGCAGACCCAGGAAGCTCCAGGAAGGGGATCCAAATACTTATTTTTAACATGGTTGCTGGACTACATTTTTGCAATATCTCAAATGTGTTAAAAAAATCAATCAAACAAAAAAAGCTGCCTAAAGTTCCTTGAGGTTGCCAAGCATAGAGACCCATAAGGTAGAGGAAGCATACCATTAGCTTAAGAACAGTCTGGACTGAAAAGTGACACCTTGTCTCAAACCCCAAAACCCAAACCAAAAAGTGGTTATTGTAGGCCTGATATTTAAACAGCAACAATAATAACAACAAATGTACTGGCTTCACAAATGATAAGGTATTTCAGATCCCCACTGGCTTACACACTCATCTCATCTGCCATTCCCTGCATCCACTGCTAAGCATGGGGACAGCTTGTTCCGAGCCTACAGGCTGACTCCCCAGAAGAGTGAACATCAAATAGCTTCTATGATTTTTCACACTAACAATTTCATTGGTGTTTGCTTTCTTTCTCTTAGGGAATGAGCAGTTCCTTCTTGAAGGATTTATGATATTTTTTTCCTTTCAAGGTATATGTTAAAAGAGAATGTAATTTTACATTGTCTCCCTATGCTTGAGTCAAACAAATGATGTTACATATTTTCTCTTCTAATTTTAAGTATTTAGATTTTTTCCTAGTAGTAGATTAACTGATGATGGTAGTTGTAAAACAATTTGTCTTACTTTAAATAAATGGAGGAAATTCTGAAAGAGCTTAAGTTTTGTGAAAGTAAATATCTCTACTTAAAATTCTATAGGAGTAATAGATCTGATGGTCAAAGTAAGGTTAAATAGCCAGGCGGTGGTGGCACACGCCTTTAATCCCAGCTCTCGGGAGGCAGAGGCAGGCGGATCTCTGTGAGTTCGAGGCCGGGCTGGACGGATAGCCTCCAAAACAATGCAGAGAAACCCTGTCTCGTAAAAAACAAAAAAAAGTAAGGCTAAATAACCAAAAAATACACACATATAGCCTCAAAGCCTCTATTTCACCAACAATTATTTTTTTAATTCCTCTGAATAATATTGTTATTAAGTCAAAACTCAACACTATTTATTCTTTGGTTGGAAATGTTCATGTTTAGTTACATTCACTCAGAACAAAAAAGAAGGCAGAAGGAAATATTTATTTTTAACTCATTACAATTAAAAGAAACCTAAATACAAGATCTTGTCCCCTTCAGATGGCATTCAGGGCTGGAAGGTAAACCCTTGCTTGAAGTTAATATTACCACTCTGCATCATTGTACAAGTCATCTGCCTCTGCAATACGCATGATGGAAATATCACTCCCTGTCTTACAATCACTGTAATGCTTTGTTTTTATGGTCTACAGCCAAAGATTGCAAAATAGAATTACATATGACAAATAGAATTTCCAACTGCCTTGTAAAGTGAGTAAGGCACATATATCGACCATGTTGGAACCCAGCCTACCGGGTACGGTGATAGGCAAGGACAGCTGTACTTATCTGCGAACTTTCTTGTCTCTCCCCTTTCTGTGACATATGGTAAGAAATATCATCAACAGCCAGTGTTACAATATTCTAAACCTTTTGGAAAATGTTAACAGCATTGATAGTGCCATAAAAGTATTTGTATTGCCCTCTTTTTCACATATGTCACAAATTAGTATGTTATTCTATTCAATTTTTGGCATTTTTATTCAGTGAAATGTGGACATTTCTACAAAAAAGAAAGTAATTATTCTTCCTATCATCTTTCATCAGTACTGATAGGAATTAGTTTCCCTTCTACTTCTGCCTTTCCAACTCCTCTGATAAACTAAATTTATGTTTTTACTAGTTACCATTTGAATGTGATATTTAATCATGAAGAAAGATCAGAGGTTCTTTCTATTCTACCACACCCTTTCAAGATTTTTTATTGAAAACTCTCTTGAGCAACCCTTTTTTATTAAAAACTCTCTACCCTTTTCAAAGTCCCGAGAGAGATGCAAGAAATTTGCATTTGTTCTTTCAGGAGCATAATTAGTATGAGAATATCACAGAAATATGTCTCAAATACTTTTCAGCAAAGATCCTGTTAAGCCCCACCACTAAAAATAAAAAATAGCTAAGAAAAAGCAAGAGATGTACTCTCAAGTTCCACCAGAAATTTTATTCTTATTTTTAACTGACATTGCTTTTTTAAAAAAATATGACTTAATGGCAGTGTGTAATAACTTATAGAACATTCAGTATCAATTTTTGGCATGCTAGCCATAGCAAATCTTAATTCATAAATTGATTGGGATTGTCTGTCACCAATGGTTCCATCTAAGTCACTTACTCAGAGTTGGGGAACTGTTTGCGGTCCCTAAATGGAATTGGTATGGCAAATGCTTGACTGAGTACAAAGTTTAAATTGTCAGTAACTCACTGATGATTGTCAACTGGTGAAAAGCCATTCAACTTGTGAGAAGCCAACTGTATGGTCTCCCCTCATGAGTCATAAGCCACAGTCTTCAGCAGAGCCTTTTGGCTGTCTCCTTGCACAGAGTGGCATGAGCCATCTGTTCTAATTCCCTTGCTTCCTGTTGTTCACCTGGTGATGGTGGTGACTGATACCCTGTCTTGTAACAGCAGTGACAGCTGTGATGTGAGTAGTGAAACCACAATTCTGTTGATGTGGTAGGTGAATTCCAAGGATTGGGAAGTAGACCTCAGCTGGTCTATTTTGGAGAATCTTGACCTCTAAAGATAAGTCTTCAGAACTTGGAAGAGCTGTTATCACAGAGTGAAGAAATTCCAGTGACTCTTTGGCCTATTGTGATGTCATATGGTTAATTCTGCAAAGGTATCTCTCTGAAGTCTGTGAAATCAAGTCTCTATTAATGATTAGATCCCCCATCTGATCCTAAGATGTTAGAACAACCTCCTCTGGCCTTTTCTATCATTGCTGCTGAGAACTGAGAATTTTCACTGGTTGCCTGAAAGCTTTCACCATTTCCATTCCCTGCTTCACAAAGCCTGAAAACCAGTATTAAGAACTTAAGCGTTTTATATACAGTATCAGCATCTGAAAATGGAATTATTAACCATTCTTTGTATCATCAGAATTTGTAAGCATTTTATTCTTCCCAGATCATCATTTCCTTGAACACCAGCCTGTTAGTGGTGAATGCATATTCCCATGGTGTTTTTGTTTAGTAAATACCATGGTATTTTATATTTCATTGTAATCCACAGCCACTTTGCATAGAAATTTTCATGTAAAAAGTAGATACTTAGAAGTCAATATTATGTACCTAAAATAAAGAGCAGAGTCTAAATCTTAGAAAATTTCAATGCTTATCTTCATCCTGAGGAGGGTGTTGTCCATTTTACAATTTTGAAAATCTTTCCAAATTTGTTAAGTGGACATAAAAGAGCTGTGTGGAAATAAAAGCTAGCATTTGGACAGATAAAATGAGTAATTTGGCTTTCTATAATTCTAGTTATATACAAAAGGACTGAATGTGTGCCTATCACAAGGAAGTCATGACTTAGAGATGATTTCTGTCTATGGGGTGAATTTGCCATGCAAAGGTTGTAAGTTGAAGTAAAAGAGTGTTTGGTGAAATGTACAAAGGAAGATTCAGAAAAAGTAGTAAGATACCTTTGAATAAAGCAAGGTAATTGATGTGTCAGATGAATAGGTTTAAAGCTCAACAACTCACTTTTGCTCTTACATACAAAGTAAGCATAGACTCCCAGCCCTCACCATTTACACATGGGTCAACAACTTTCCATTCTACTGAGCATGTGTTTCTGTTTTGCTTTTGGATATGCCTTACTTTTTACACCACTGAAAATAAATTTTATTAGACTTGCCAGACACAGTTTATGGTCTTGTGTTATACCTTGCCTTATACATAGCTCATAGTTTCCTATTCGGCCATAGCAGCGGAGGTGCATATTTTGAAACTCTCTGTAGACAGATTAAGATATATTTTCTGAATCAAATATTTTTATGTTAGTGTGGTTACTTTAATAAGTCAGAAAATAATTTGCTCCATAAATCAATGTTAAAAATTTAAATCTAACTCTATTTTGTAAATTATTTTCTTCTTAACTCAGTTTAGTCACTGGGAGACTCAATGCCAAATCATCCGAGGCCACCTCCTTTGAAATCCTTGTCTTTGGTAAGAGCTGTTTCTTTTTCAGAAACTTTCTGGTTAGCCAAGGTCTTAATGGTCTTTCGAGGACCGGTTCTCCTATTCATCACTGCTTCTAGCACATTAACAAAGGTATTACTAATCGGAAGGACTTTTCCCCTTTCAATAGTTCAGTTTTGTTGGTTTAAGTCAAAAGTCATACATCTGCATGCCATATCGATATTCGAAATTCCAGTAAACAAGAGTCTGTTCTCTTCCTGAATTCTGTGTTCCTTATGAAAATCCACCAGTGTGTTGTAGAAAGCAGGAAAGGCTCCTGGAAACATCTCAGTAGTCTGCCATGTGACTCTTGCATCTATCTATTCAGTAGTCATGTTCTCGGTAGAGGCTTCATGTAGTGCGAGGATCTAGATAAACAAGTAACTGAAGGAGGCGTAGTCCATGCTCTAATAATCACATAGTATAGAGATGAGGTATACATAATGAGAATTTCTTATGACACATCATTAATGCAGCAAAAAATAAATGTATTCGTATAAAAAAAGACAATTGATGTTTTCCCAAGTGGACTTAAAGCTTGGCTTGCAGCCAACTAGCACTAAATCAGGATTTTCATCTTATGAATAACAATTTTAGTTGGCAAATTGTGAATCATAAGACCATTCTAGCCCTGAAAATAAGAGCTGGTAATTCATACTGTGTTTTCCAAGTGGAGTGGGGTGGTCTTAACAAAATGTAAACACTTTCAAAATCATTCATGTTGGACTCATATGTATTTCAGTTGCTACTTTTCTCATAGCGTAGAAAAATGACATTAACAAAATGAAAAATGTTTCAGTACAACTGAAATACAATTTTTACTTAAATCTGTATTCAAGTCTAATGAACTAAACTACCTCTGTCCCTCTAACTCAACAAACTGATAAGTCCTGGCTTAGGACAGAGTCCTCCAAGCCTGGTCACCCCCTAAGTTTCTTCCATGCTCATCTCTCTTTTAACTAAAACACCTTCACTGTTGGTATCTGATTATAAAAGTAGAGGAGACACTCACCTTTCCAGTCACCTGAAGATATAGGTGTAGTGTAGATAGTTCAGTGTGGAATGGCATGTTAACACATGCATGTTTTAACATGGTGGCCTTTAAAGTTTGAGGATGTGTTATCCATCCCAAACAAACTCAAGACTCTTTATTCTGTCTTCCTGCATGTCAAACCTACGTGGGATGATCTATCATTATCAACCATCTACCAGCAAAGAACAACAGCAAAACTGATTCTACAAAAGGTTTACGTCACCTCAGTTCCCACTCCTTGGTGATCTTTTCCGTGGGTTTGCTGTGGCATATCTCACTACAACCAAGTAAGACTAGATGTGTGGAAATTCATCTTTCAGGTATTTTATCCAATTTTCCTGTGGCAAAGTATAAGATTCATTCAGACAAGCCAAAGTCTGGCTCAACTTTTCATCCCAAGGCTATAATCTCATCTGAACATGAATGAGTCACATCCAAACCTGGATGACTTCAGTTTGGTTAGAGAAGAACTGATATGCAAGGAGGTGGAGACTGGGGGAGAGGAAGAAGGAGGGCAAAGGGTGAGAGGTTTGATTGGATGAATGTAAATGCAAAAATAACAAAGTAAAAATGACGACAAAATAATGTTGCAGAGCAAAAATTTGAGAAAACCTAGCAGCATTCACATGTACCCATTGAAGAAAGGTTTATTAATGCAGTTACAGTTTGTGGCTAAAGAATTAGCTGACTATATTTGTATCCTGAATTATTTTAAGACTTGTGTGAGTGTGTAAATACATGAGAGTGTTATGAAAAATTCCCTCTTGGTAATCTCTCATTGGTTATAAAAACATCACCCTATATGTAATGATGGTAGGAATTTAAGTTACGAGCATGATATAGCCACAAAGTGTTCTGAGTGTGCAGCACCCCTTCAAACAAATGTGGCTCAGTAAATGGGTATAAATGGCTAGTTCTATCGTGTGATAAAATTATGTCTGGCATCTGTTTAAGAGGAGCATGGGATGCTTCAAACAGAAGGACAAGCCTCAATATTGAATGAGACAGAATCTGGAGAGCAAAACCCTTTTGCAAATGTGCCTACCACCATTCACCAGGTTTATTAGTGGTTACTGCCCCTTTTATCTGGATCCTGTTAACTTCAAATTTGTTCTTAGCTCATGGAAAAGGTCTCCCTTTGTTTTTCTCTTCTAGATAGGAAAAGTCTCTTGGCAGAGATCTTCAAAGGCAGTTTAGTCAGTAGCATCATGGAAATTTGGCAGAGGGTAAAGTACTAAGGCAGATTAAAACATTAGTTTAGATTATTCTTAAAGGCAATTGTTCCATGATTTTTTCATCCCTTTATTTTAGCAGTTAGCATAGTCACTCATATCTGTACTTCCTCATGTAAACCTGCTAGCCCATTTTTATAATTGTGTTGCCAACTCAATGAAATTTGAATTTAAATTGGATACATAAACACAGAAAAACATGAATAAATCATCCAAACACCTTCTGAATTGTTCAGTTTATGCCTCTTAAGGTTAAATCAAAACGTTAAATTCAAACCTTTTATTGTATTTTAAAATTGAACAAGTGGATTACTTTGTTGCATTTCATCTCTGGTAATTTTGTTCCTTTTCCCTTTAAATCATTTTTAATTGCTCTGAGTAGTGCCAAGGTCCATGTTCATGCTAATCTGTTCTAACTAAAAGTAGGAACTAACTTAATATCTCTAATACCAAAAAGTGAATGTTTGCTCTAGTCACTTTAATCCACCTTAAATTGTTTAGATTACTTAAGAAGATGGTCTAGAAAGCCTTCAGACCCAGTTTTTAAATACCATGTTATAGGTTAACAATCTTGAAGCTGAATTATGCTGCACTTTGTACTTTGGATGCTATTGTGGAATATTACTTTAATTATGAAAAGATGTGTTTCACTTATTTATGCTGCATTTGTTTAATGGTGTAAATATGTTTTGTTTTGCTTTCCTAAGGCACCTGATTGATCTAATAAAAAGTTAAACAGCCAATAGTTAAGCAGTAGAGGCATCGACAGGGCTAGCATGCAGGGTATAAATATGAGGAGGAATTGAGGAGAAAAAAGAGAACAGAGAAGAGAACAAGGAAGAAGAAGAGGAAGATGTCCAAGGACAGCCAGTCACCAGACAGACAGACATAGAATAGGACATACAGAATGAAAGAAAGTTAAAAGGCCTTGAGACAAAATTTAGATGAAGAAAAAAGGTTAATTTAAGTTACAAGAGCAAGAAAGACAAGCATAAGATAAGGACAACCATTCATAACTAATAAGTCTCTGGGTCATGTTGGGAACTGATTGGAAGCCCCAAAGAAAGCCTGCTACAGGAAGCATTGTGACACACCATATTAGCATAAAATAGATCTTCTGTGGTTATCACTTTCCAAGTGTACTACAAAAAAGTTCTCAAAATCAGGCAAGCACAAATCTTTAAGACATAAATTCTTTAGCCCATAATCCTGTGTCACCATTAACCAAAAACTCTTCTATTACTTTCAGCTAAAAAGAAGGAAGAAACTAATGAATTTTCAGTACATGATTCTAGCTGGATAAATCCCATGGTTTACATTTGCTAAATCCTTTATTAAATTTGCTGTTTCTTATAGTAATGGTAACAACCTGGTAGATAATGTCTTTGTCTCACAAATTGAAAAAAGTCTTCTCAAAGCCACACAATGTGTCAGTTACTAGAAAATGATCAAACTGGAGGTAAAATCCTTTAGCAACTTCATGTTGAATTATGCCTGATGCCTAATTTACCTTTAGGTGTAAATAATCTTTCAAAGATTAGAATTTTAGGGATGGGTAGGAGCTCGGTGGTAGTGTGCTTGATGAGCATGCTCAATTTCCTAGACTGAATGCCCACCCCAATCCCACCCCCCAAGAGGTACTAGGCATAATGTTAATAACATGAAAACAAAAGCTCAACAATTATATTCAATAGTTGAGGCAAAAAATTTCAATCACTGTTTCATGTTCTCTTTTTTTAGATAGGCCTTTTCATTGACCCTGTGTCTTTTGTGGAAAAACCAATGCATTCAATGTATCATTAGATCCTAGGGTTAAAGGAGGGGAAGTGGAGGACTTTAGACAGAATTCCTGAAGCTGTCATCTTACCTCTTCCCACCAAGATGACCTTTTGACATTTCAGAGGTATGGCTGATTGATTTCAGACACTGTCAATGTATAAAATAGCTGCTCCTGTAGACTACACAAAGATTCACCCAATGTCAGCATAGAGTCAGTATTTGAAAACCTGGGTATTCAGGTACATTACAGCTCTGCACCCAATGTCAGCATAGAGTCAGTATTTGAAAACCTGGGTATTCAGGTGCATTACAGCTCTGCACCCAGCTTCTCAGTCGAGGCTCCACCTCAAGAGAGTGTCATTTCACCCTGTGAATCTCCATTACTTTAAAGTTCTAGATGTGTGAGGGGTTGATCTGTCACTGGCTCTCAACTTTGCTGTTCAGAAGTCCAATGCTCTTACACAATATCTATACCTAAACCCTCCTGAAATGTGATACCAGCTTTCTTTTTTCTTTGGCTAAAGCCTAAACTTACACATTAATTAGCATCATTTGCTATAAAAAATACGATGCTAAAAATATAACCAGCTCGTCAGGACACTTTTCATGGCCTTTTATTCCAAACTGACTGTTGCCATTGGAATTAAATAAGGACATTTTTAAAATGTCCTTATTATACCCATAGCACTAGGAGCTAGGGAATATTATTCTTTTTAATTTTATATTTATAGTATAATAATATGTACAGGTCTGGTTATCTCTGGGTATATGCATGCAAAACAGGTGCCTGTAGATGCCAGAGGTGTTGGATTCCCCCTAGAACTGGAGTTGCAGGCAGTTGTGGGTGCTGTGAACCAAATTCAAGTCATCTGCAAAAGGAATGTGTTCTCCTAAGCACTGAATCATCTGTTCAGCTCAAAGGTCGTTCTTTAAATGTCACTTCCTTGGTGTCCACTTATTCATGGACTAGACTTAGTCACATGCCTGGCTTTTGTCCCAGAAAAGCTGAAGGAAAGAATGACAGCATAAAGGGTTTCCCAGGAAAACATTTCATTCTTGATTTCGCCATGCTTTTCATGTGTGTGTTTTCTAGCTACCACTCTTAAATATTCTGTCATACAAATCGTAGAAAAATTAAATTGCTAAGTCCTATTTAAGGCATGATTACCTTATGATATCAGACTTCTTAGGATGAGTTCTGTGTCTCATGAGCCGCTGTGTCCTTGGTATTGAGTACAGACAGCACCTGGCACAAGATAGATGTTCAATTTCCCTTGTGGTTTTGATTTTTATATTTTTGTTTTGTGTAAAGTTAAAAGGCATCCAAATTTTAGCCAGTGGCAAATAATGATACGTGGCTAGATTATCTTCATGTGGTTTCAAATTACCCATTACAAGAGAACGCCTGGAAAAAATAGAAAACAATTGCCAGAAGTAGTCAATTCTATAGCCTCCCCACATCCCAAATGTACTAGTTGGTCAGATGAGTGATTGACTTGATAGAATAATGGTACCAAAGGAATGCATTAACCCAAATACCCAATTTATAGCATTGAGATAGGAGACATATAAAATAATTGTTGTGTTAGATTTATAAATGCCATTTAACAAGTTTTATATGAGGTTTAATATTTCCAGTCTAGCCCCAGAAAGTGTTCTATACTTTCTTGTATCATATTCACAAACAAAAGCAAAGCAATTTCCTCCATGAAAAACATACACTTTCAATTGTCTGACTGTAAGCAATTAAAGTTAAATATTGCCTATATAATTGAACAATATGATCAGGAATTGAGATTATTTTAAGTAGATATATTAAAGTACAGCAAAATATGAAGCCCATATGTGGTCACATATATGAATAACCCAATAAGTATGTGCTTGACTAATGTTAAACAGACCTCAAACTCAGGTCAAGAATCAGGTAACAATTCCAGTGTCATTAATAGGAGAATTGCCCTAACTGGCATCACAAGAACCAGCTCTCTTACTTTTCCAGTGTGCAATCCATTATCTGAAAACAGGAAACATGTGGTGACCATCCATTACGGCCACATTATATAGACAGGGTTCTGCTCCCATACCTCATCTAGGACCCATATTATTGACACAGACAGGGAAAAACCCTTCATGGAATTCCATGTTTGTGCTACTTGTTTCCAGCTAAGTGAAAAGGCGGTTCTGGAAAGTGT